GACGATAGGAACACCAGTATGGTCTTCTACTGTGGATAACGTGTGTTACATAGCTACGTCTTTTCTTTGCGGGGACATTGATCATGTTTCAGAGGAGTCTAGAAGAGGCCTGGCTGGGTTTAGGTACTGTGTCAACATGTGCTGTTTTCTTTGATGCTGACAGTATTTACTAAGATAAATGCCTGGATAGAGAAGGTCATATTTGGGGATATTTCTCAGATCAATAGGGTTTTGGACAAGTTTTCCTCTCACTGCATCTCAATAAATTGTAACTATCAAATCTATGAAGTCTTGGTTGGTTTTGAAGCTTCTCATGAACTTAGTGTGACCTGGGAACCTGGATGGCATCACAGAGAAATAACTTCTAGAATTTCAGTAATTATTTTAGGAGAAACAAATTATGGCAGGAGACACAAAATATAGCACTAATTTTTGCATTTGTGACTAGCAGGCTTTTTGGTGATTAACTCACCTAGTGGTGGTCACTGGAGGAAACTGGAGGCTTTGCAATGTTAAAAGCTTTTCTTTCTGTACCTGCATTAGATACGGCTCAGTTTACTATCCACAGAGATCCTGAGTGTTAGCATGAACATTCTTTGCTGCATCTTGGTTTTTTCTGACTAGACTTTGTGCAATGAATAGGAAACATGACAAGAGAGAAGTTTATCTTAGTTTGCTGGTGGAAATATTTACTTTATAAATATAATTTACCAGTTTCAAAAGCTTAAAAAAATCACATATTTTGCTTTGGATGAAATTCCAAGGAAAAATTTTAAAAGCGATTCTATATTTTCTGGATGAGAGATGTTGTTGGTATATGCCACCAAGTTGCCTGGAACACATAACAACCCTGTGTACAACAGCTCTGACCCTGTCCTATCCTGAGCTAATCTTACTGTCTCTGACACACTCACCCCTATTACCCCAGCTACTATGTCAATCCATCTCATACGGGGTAGTCTGTGCTTGCTTTACAAAGTATAGAATTCTTTCATACTTATGTGTTGTTGTTGTTGTTAGGTGCCCCTGAGTTGACTACGATGCATAGCAAACCTATGAACAACAGATCTGAACCACAAACCTATGAACAACAGAACTGAACCTTGCTCTATTCCACACCGATCTCATGATTTCTGTCACGCTCAAGCCCATTGTGGCACTCGGGCTGCATCCTCTCAAGTACAGCTCACCATTTTACCTGGAAGTTATTTCTTCTGGGTTGGAACCGAGTCATAGCGGATCCTTCACTGGACCTCAGAGGCTGTACATCACACAGGAAGAGAGTGCTCATACTTTCCCCCTGGAGCTTCTGGATTTAAAACACTAGAAAGGCAAGGCCTTTGAGCTAGCCTTGTAACTTCCCAAAGATTATGCCACCAGAGCTTCTGATATTAATGATTCTGTTGAATAGTTTCCAAATAACCTTTATCTGGAATGGGCACAGGTAACCTATAATTTCTGTTTTCCATATTTTTTAATTTAGATATGTGAGCACATCTTTCATGACATCCATTTGCTGAGACATTGTAATTGGTAGTAAATAAATTCCTGCAAAACAACTATGAGATATCGTTGCACCCCAGTCAGAATAGCAAAATTTAACAGAACAGCAAGCAACAAATGCTGGAGAGGTTGTAGAGAAACTGGAACCCTTATTCACTGTTGGTGGGAGTGTAAAATGGTGCAACCACTGTGGAAGGCGGTATGGCGCTTTCTCAAAAAGTTGCAAATAGAGATATCATTTGACCCAGCAATTCCACTACTGGGAATATACCCCAAAGAGATCATAACTGCCACCCAAGCAGATATATGCACACCCATGTATATTGTGGCTTTGTTCACAATAGCAAGGAGTTGGAAACAACCAAAGTGCCCATCAACAAATGAATCGATAGAGAAGCTGTGGTATATTTACACAATGGAATACTACGCTGCATTGAAAAACAAGGAACTCATGCAATATTATTCAAAATGGGTAACCCTGGAGGACATTATGCTGAAGTATCTTAGTCACAAAAGGACTGCATGGTGCCACTGTTGTAAAACAGGACTGAGGACTGAGAAAGATGGGTTTAATAATGTATATACTGCATTGAAACAGATGAGGGAGAAAACTGTTTACAAGGGGTATGTGATTAGGTATTTTTGTCATGACAGGAGTCCAGAGTGAAGGCTGCATAGTAGAGTGGACCAGGGGGGAGGGACTGTAAAACAATGAAATAATTTTTCTTTTACTTTTCCAAGAGGGTAGTGTACTGGGCGTGGGGCGACGGCGGGGAGGGGAGAAAAGTGCAACAATGAATGAATGGAAATCCAAAGTCTCTGTAAATTTTCATTGAAATTAATAATAAATTAAAAAAAATAAATTCCTGGAGGCTTGTTTTCCCTCCTCCCTCCATGCCTTTAAAGGAGTTTGAATTTCTTCCTTCATATCAATGGTTAATTTTCTACCTTCTGAAATCATTGTTCTGAAATCACCAATTCTTTGTGGTAAAATGATTGACTCTGTGTATTTTGAGTTTTGAGGGCAGAGACCATGTTTATCATCCTTTTAGTTCTGCAAACATTAACTGAGGGTTGAGTGTGTCAGGCATTGCTGGCACCAAGGAAGGAGGGCTGGGAATCAGTGCCCATTTTCCGGGCACAGCAGGATGTGAATCTGGGGAAAAGGGAGTTATCCAAGAGTAATAATGGGAAGTCTTTGCTTCATTTCCTTTTCAGGACAAAGCAGGGAGAACATTCTGAACAAAATGTGCTGTCCTGAATCTGTTCTATATATTGGTCCTATCAGTTGACATCTGCAATGTAACAAACTTTTCCAAAACCAGTAGCACATGATTAATGTAAATGGTATAAAAAATTACATATGTAAAAATGGAGAACTGTCCAATTGATTTTTTTTACCTCATATAGATATAAAAACACACAAACAAAAGAAAAATGTCATTCATGCTCTTGCAGAATTCTTTTCCTTTTGTTCTAGTATATATCCCAGTATAACTAGATCACAAATTACATATTCACATATCCATTCCCCTGCTGACAGATGTTTGTGTTTTCAGTTTTGTTATGTATGCTGTTATAACAATGCACTATGAATATCACAAATGATTCTTTATAAGACACTAAGGTTAACGATCATGAAAATAGATAAAACACTCGTCATGGAGTTAAGTAATAGTAATTAAATAACCACTTATTATTTGGGGCTTATTTTCAGTAGGAAAGAGCATCATGCTTGGAAAAGCGGAAGGCTAGTAAAAGAGAGGTGGACCCTCCATGAGCTGGACTGACACAGTGACAGCAACAACGGGCGTGAGGAGAGTGGACACTGTGAACATGAGACAGGAGCAGACGGGTTTGGTTCTGTTGTTCACAGGGTGGCAATGAATTGTAGTCAACTCAATGGCATTTAACAATAGGGTTGCTATAAGTTGCAGACGACTCGACGGCACATAACAACAACAACAACTTGGGATACCCAGACACTTGACTGAAACTCCCGCCAATATGGACTAGTTACTAGACTCTTTAAAATAATCATGAGAATCACCGCCATTGAGCATCAGTCTACACCACAGCTAGCACCATTTGGTAAGCTTTCTGGCAAAGATATTTTAAAGACACAATCAACACCTTTAACTAGTGTCGGGTTGGGAAGATTTTAAGGAACATGGTGATGTTAACATAGGGCGAGGGGAGTGATTGTGAAAAGGAAATGCTTTCTTAAGCGGTCCATTTGGCCAAGATTGTAAGAGTGTGAATGAAGGGTTTGAAATGACCTAAAGAAAAGTATTTTTCTAGTCTTGGAAATACTCCAAAACAAAGAGACACAAACTGAGGGCAACTCCCCTCGTCCTGCTCTGTCTGTGCAGGTGCATGGGGTTATGATGTTGACAGGACTTTTCACAGTTTGTAAAGGGACACGACAGGAAATTCAAGTGTGAAGCAAGAGCTCAACAGAGATGTTTGTGGTTTTATTAATGGAAAATATCCGTTGTCTTAACAAGGCCAAAGCTGTGTGGACACAGGAATTAGGAAATCAAGAAAAGGTAGGTGAGATGCTGGAGGCATAAAAGGATCAGCAGCTGCACTCACAGCACTGATCTCCCAGAGGCAGACCGACCAAAGATGAGGCGAGTCCCTGGCTTTGCCTGCTCCAGCCCCTTCTTTTCATTTGTATACTTTTATCTATACAATGGGTCAGGTAGGAGAGAGGTATACAAGAGAGATGAAGAAATACGGAAAAGGAATAGAGCAAATTGAGTCAGAGGATTTAGTGATTAAATCTGTCTTTTTCTGTGTATAGAAAGAGCTTGCATACAAGCACAGTTGTTCTTTCCAAGACATGCCATTCATCTTCCTCGAAAATGTCTATGAAGTTTTGCAGGAGACTGTCAGCCTCTCTCCCACAACATTTTGAGTATATCTATTTTGTTTCTTTTAAAAAGACATTATAAGAAAGACATATAGAGCTATTGAGGAAATAATTATTCTTTAAAGGAAAGTTTTTGAAACACAAAGCCTAGGAATGTATCATAACTAAGTGATTTTTGTGTGGCTGGCTGCCAGCAAGCCATCAACATGCCCTTCACAACTGATGCCACACCCAAACACAGGCTTGTGGGAAGCAAGTTGTCTTCCAGGTAGACTTCTTGTACTTCGGTATTAGAAATTGCATTTTCTAAAGGTAGAGCATCATAAATGAGCAGACACATCCACATAAGCATTATAAGTCACATAATTAAATAGCCTACCACATTATCCTTGTCAGTAGCAGTATTTCTGCAGTCCAGTACTTTGGAAGAAGCTATGGGGTTTTTCTATTCACTGGAGAGGTGATCAATTAAAACCAATTTAAGGTTACCAGAAAGCTGTCATAAGTTGAATTCCCCACACTTCATGCTTTCCTATCTTGATGGTCCCTCTCTGAAGCTTATGTAGAATTCTCAGCAATGTAAAGCCAGCTGGAAGCTGTATGGGATGGGGAAGCTGCTAAAATGTGTGGGTAAGTGGGGGCTACGTGCAGCTATTGCTTTTTCTAATCTGGCTGCTTTATGCATGGGCTGTGTTGTGCAGGAGGGAACCGAACTTAGCACTCCCTTCTGTCTCCTCTCTGCAGGGCCCTGAGAGCTGTGGTCACCCTCCTCCTCTGGGGGCAGTTGTTTGCAGTGAACTTTGGAAATGATGTCACAGATACTTCAGGTGGGTATTGCAACATTTCACTTTGCCCCTATCAGTTCTGCATCCTCTCGATCTCTGCTTCTCTTTCTATTAGCTGTACTTTCAGTACCATAAAGAACACTGGGAATTCTGCCAGAAATATGGGGAGATGGCCCTTCGGTTGGCTTGCACTTGGCAGGAGTGAGGCTGAGATGCAAACAGCTTTCTCTCCTCTCGGTTTTTTCATGAGCCTCTGCAAAGAATTCCTAAACAATAACTTTCTCTTCATATTGTTCTTCTCAGATGTTGGCTGCCCAAAGGCACCTGAGATTACAAATGGCTACATGGAGCATTCAGTTCGCTATCAGTGTAAGAAATTCTACAGACTGCGCTCTGAAGGAGATGGTAAGACCTAGACGATTGTTTCCATCCAGCTCCCATCTGCCCTCACCTCCTCCTAATCTTCTGTGATGAATGGGGCTACGGATGACGGCCAGAAAGTTCACATTTTCTCTGTGGAGAAATGTTAAATGCTAACAAGGGTCTTGGTGCCAATAGTTGTGCTCCATTGGACAAATAAATTTTTCTCAGCTCAAGGTTTTGCTTTAGTTAAGAGACTGGGAGATAATGTTATACCAGCTCCATATGTGAGTGTCACATGTGTGGTCAAAGAACAGATGATGACACTAATGATGCCAGGTAATGCCTACTTATTGAGCACTGTGATTTTCAGGTCCCAGACACTGCCTAAGTGCTTTACATTTTTTCGGTTTATAACAATTAACTTTACAACAATTTTTACAAAACAAATTTACAACAATTAATCTTCACAACTAAGAACAGTTAGTAGTACTATTCTCATTTTGCTGATTAAGAAACTGAGGCACAGAGAGTTTGAGATAACCAATACGTAGTTGAGTGAGGTTTGAACTTGCCCCCTGCCCTGCGGTGGGTCGCCGTGACTATGGTTCTATCCTGCTGGGCCCAAGAGGTACCAGCACCTGCTTTGAGAAGGCACGCCTCCTTTCCCCCTTCCCCTCCTCCACTGACCTTATCTCCTCTCTCTCTTCTTATTTCCTCTCTTTTAAGATACTCTCTCCCTATTACTGGGTCCAACTCTGATTTCTCTTTTTGCCCATTTGTTTTTATTTTTGTTTCAGGAGTGTACACTCTAAACAGTGAGAAGCAGTGGGTGAATAAGGCCATTGGAGAGACACTTCCTGAATGTGAAGCAGGTAGGAATTCAGGCGGCACTAAAAAAGACCTGGGGTGAGTGTGCAGGGTTCATCCACAGGCAGAAATGTAAGTGAAAGTGTCCCAGAGGCCTATCCCTTCTGGGTGCCTTTCTCAGAGCACGTGAAAACCACAATGAGGGTCAGGGGAAAGTGTTCATGTCTGCTAGAGGAGAGCGGTTATGCAGACTGCCTGACAGAGCTCCAAGAGGATATGGGCCTAGAGAGCAGACTGGGATTGCCGTGCACACTTTTCCTGGAAGACCAGGATCACGGAGATCCTCTGGCCTGAGAGTCCACACTGCCAGGTAAAGTAAGCTCCAGGAGAACAGTCAAGAGAGGACACACAGACTTACCTGGAACACGGGACAGGAAGCTGGAGATGGGACTTCTGTTTCTTGTTATCAAGAAGAGCTGTTTCTCTCTCTTGCTTCCTCCTGGACAGAAGTTTTTGCCTCTCCTTTTTTTATGCTGTAAAATGTGCAGCTCTCTCAACATGCCTTATTTATGATGGCAACATCCATAAAACTCGTGTTTCAACCAGCACCCCTATTCATCTCTCTTCATTCAGACAGAAAGGATTACTGCAGCTCCAAGCTTTCACAACAAACTTCAAGGAATTGCGAGAATTCTGTTATGTGATAAATTCTTCTTAAATATACAGTTCACTTGGTAGCTTTGAAAATGTTAGCTTGTTTGTTGCAAAACCAGGAAATGGAACTCCATCTTAGTAATGTAAACAGATAATGCTAGAAAACAAGTGGTTGTGAATGACTGAAAATCCAAAGAAAAAATAAGACAGCTAAAGTTTACACAATACACACAAACACACACATTAAAACATTCTGGGTCAGAAAAAAGAAACAGAAGTGTTAAGACAGCAGCACGGGCCAATGCTTTTGTCCCTCTGTTCCATTTTGGAGACACTTTCACATGTGACCTCACGATCTTCTTGTTCTTCTCAACAGTGTGCGGAAAGCCTCAGAATCCAGTGGATCAGGTGCAAAGGATCATTGGGGGGTCCGTGGATGCCAAAGGCAGCTTTCCCTGGCAGGCTAAAATGATCTCCCGTCACAATCTCACCACGGGGGCCACCCTGATCAGCGAGAAATGGCTGCTGACCACAGCCAAAAACCTCTTCCTGAATCATACAGCAGATGCAACAGCAGAGACCATTGCTCCTACTTTAAAACTCTACGTGGGGCGAAATCAGCCTGTGGAGATTGAGAAGGTGGTTCTCCACCCTAACTACCCCAAAGTCGACATCGGGCTCATCAAACTCAAACAGAAGGTGCCTGTGGATGAGAGAGTAATGCCCATCTGCCTGCCCTCCAAGGACTACGCGGAGGTGGGGCGTGTGGGTTACGTGTCTGGCTGGGGGCGGAATGCCAACTTTGAATTCGGTGAGCTCCTGAAGTATGTCATGCTCCCTGTGGCTGCCCAGAAGGAGTGTGTGGAGCACTACGAAGGCAGCACCGAAGCCGAAAACAAGCAACCAAAGAGCCCTGTTGGGGTGCAGCCCATCCTGGGCGAGCACACCTTCTGTGCGGGCATGTCCAAGTATCAGGAAGACACCTGCTACGGAGACGCTGGCAGCGCCTTTGCTGTCCACGACCAGGACGACGACACCTGGTACGCAGCCGGGATCCTGAGCTTTGATAAGAGCTGTACTGTGGCCGAGTACGGGGTGTACGTGAAGGTGCCCTCCATCCTGGACTGGATTCAGACCACCATAGCTGACAACTAGGGCAAGGCCACCTGGGAGCGCTGGCCTGAGGGCAAGACTTCACTCTGGAGGACAATCAGGAGGGGAGAGGGCGGGAGGACACTGATGTGAAGTTGATGGGAGCTGGGCCTGCACTGCAAGTTGCCAATAAACAGCTTTCTTTTTTGAGTCATTTCTGTGCTGTTTTTAGGCTTAGACCTTTTAATTAAATGGTACAGTGTCTGATAAGTTTCATAGAGTATACTGTGTACATGGAGGAAAAAAAACACTAGTCAATTGGAAATCCTACAGTTGATAAAAATGAATCAATTTTATTGTCCTCTGACTGGTTATCTACTAAATGTCAGGCCTCAGTAAGGTGGTGGTGTTCTTGTCTTAAACACAAAGACACAGGGGTGGGTAAAGGAAATGGAAAGATCCAGTGTGAAAAACAATGTATAGTGATTTTGTAAATAAACCAATATAAATAAAAATTCAAAAAAGAAAAAATAGACAAGGACACACACTCAGGTAAGTGAAGTCACTGGTTTGATGAAAACTCCTTTGTGTATATTCATGGAAGAACACTGCCCTCTACTGACCCTTTAGAGTGAACTAGGTCTGGGGAAGGTGCTAGCCCCAAGTGATTTGGGGGGCGGGGAAAAGGGGGGAGGAAGTGTTTGAACAGAGACAATATTTCAATGTTTTTTTGCTCCAACAACACCAGCAACAAAGGAAGACAGTACAATGGTGGGTCTTGGAATTTGATTATCCTGCTAAAATATAGGAAGTGCTTCAAGTTTCTGGATGAAGTCTAAAGTCCCTACCAGTAGTAATGTCCAGGAACTCCATCAAGAGTTATTATGAATCTCTTTCCTAAATGGGCTTCTCTTCCCATTTGGAACAAATCATCTTTTACCAAAAATTAAAGGCAAGTTGCCTAAGTCTCCCACTGCACAAAGATAAAGGTCTTGTTATTAAGTGTCACCCTGAAAAAAATGTTTCAAAATTCTTGTAAACAGAAAGGTTTCCTAACAGGACTCTTTCTTCCTATAAATCTTAGTATACCAACTCCCCAATAATCTTGTCACTACCAACTCTGGTCTCTCCTTCTCGTGTAAAATGCTGATGATCCCACCAGGATCTGACCTTCACTATAAAGTTCTCTTCACAGGTATCCTCACTATCTAGAAATAAGCTAAAAGGTCAGAGCTAGTGACCCAGTGAAGGACACAAACCTCCATGCTAGTTGTCACAGAGCTTAATAAACATAAACTGAAAATCAAACCAAAAACAGTCTAAAAAAAAAAGACTATTGGGATGGAGCTAAGCCTTTTTCTCTGGAGACTGTCTATAGCACTAAGGACATTGCTGGTCTTCTTAGAGGAGGATCTGACTGCATGAAGTGGCTTCTGGCAACTAATCAGGAAGACACTAAGAAATTGAAACCTCTGGGATCTTCTCCACTCACCCTTTCTGCCTTCCTCCCCAGCAGCACCTTTGGGTCCCTGTGGCCTCTGCCTTCAGGTTCTGGCACTACTGGCCTCTGCTCAGCTCTATGACCACTCCCGCCATCTCCAGTCCTTGTTCTCTCTCTCATCTGTGCCTCGCTAAACTGTGCTTGTTTCCATGAAGACTCCTCCTACTTTTCCCTGCCTGTAATTTCTATTTTTGTTTCCTCTCTCATGGAATAGGCATTCAGCCTGGACATCACATAATTTCAGTGGCACAGCAGAAAATTAAGAATGACACTGCATCAGGACTTCAGAGAGACTCCCTAACGTTTGCAGGAAAGGAGATGGGATTTTCCGTGGGTCGGTCTGCTTACCTACCATACTTCAGACATTGACTGGTGGCTTCTAACAGAAAACCTGAGCAATCGTGATTCAGACAATGAAGATGTTCTTTAACGGTTGTAGAGGTTCTAGAGATACTCAGTAGGAGCGCAATACCATCAAGGGAGACCAAACTTTTTCTCTTCTTCCTTAGCCCAGTGATTTTCATCCAGGTGCTAACTGCCTCATGGCTGTAAGCTAGGTGCTGCAGTACCACCTGCCATGATTAAGGTCCAAAGCAGAAAACAGGGGATAGGGAAAGGAGCAGCAAAGGTGGTGGAGCGACTCATTTTCATCAGTGGTGGACACAGTGGCACCCAGCCACCCTCCCTTGATGCCTCGTTAGTCAGAACCAGGTCACATCGTAACCCTCAGACAAAGGGCAGACTAGGAAAAGAAGGTGATTCATTGATGGAGGGACTTGAGGTGACAATGTTGCCTGGAACAGAACTGGGCTCCTGCTGGAAAGAAGGCCGGTGGTTGCCAGGAGGATCCCAAGTTGCCTGACCACTGCTGTAAAAGGAGCAAGAGCAGCATGGGGACGGCCAAGTCTGACCTCTGTTAACTCTGCATGGAGGAACTGCTCCCATCATCAGCATTCACAGTACAGAACTAATTCCCATAAGGTCAGACATACTCCTCACATTACCACACTACTTTGACTCATTCCAACAGTAATCCTACTGCTCTACATCGTCCAAAGTCCATCACAACTGCTACACAGATTTCATAAACCATACTCATGATTATTAGGGAAGAGAACAGGTTACAAATCAGGTAGGCAACAGGAAACAATTTCTCAGTCAGGACAGTTTCTAAAGTGTGCTTGCAGGCCCTTCAGCTAGTCTAAATCTGTCCATAGCAAACCACCAGGTTACAGCAATCAACACTAGCTCACAGCATGAAACATCTTCTCTTCATTTGCTTGGGTTCTGGCCAACTCATGCAATGGACACAAACCACAAAACACTCAGGAGTACACACATCTTTCATTTTAGACCAGCTGGTCCCTTTGTACAGCCTCAGCCCCTTGCATGGGCCAAGTCAATAAGCAAGGAGTTTACAACTCCCTAATCCTTCTTTGATATCCACCCATGTGTGCAAGCTAGGTCAACAGTGCTGACGGAACATATCTGAGTTCAGCCTGTTTCTTTAAAAGCTGCATGACTGTATTATTCGGACTTATAATCTTAATAGAGAATACTGGCAAAATCAATTATAAGTGAATATCAGACACTTTTTGCAGCTGCAAGGTCTGAAACCTTACTATGATTTCATATAATCCTAAAGTAAGGCATTAAAAGAATTTAAACGAATAAAATATTAATATTCAAATATTTATATCTAGCAGCTACACATGTCATAGCCGGTACTCAATACAAAAAAATAAATGCTGATCACAGTGAACAGTTTGTTGCAAGTTCCAGTGGGAGGCTACAGAGAGTGGGAGACGTCAGAGACTAAAAGTCTTGTCTTTTGTTTTACAGCCCTGAGAGTTCAGTTTAAATGCCATTATTCTCTGTAGGTGTTTCCAGTCAGAGCCTCTCAGGTGCAGATACAAGCAATCAGAATTGAGGTGTTTCTTTTTCAGTTAAGCACACTGTGTCTCTGGGTCCAACATAGCATAATCTGGTTAGCACAAGCTGAGGGTGTTACTTAACAAAAGTTAAGGTCTTTCCTCATTCTTTTAGCAATAGTCTTTGCAATTACTTGCTATGCATCAGGGAGCTGGGTAATGATTAAGGATTTCAGAAAAATAATTAATGCCTTTGAATTGTGGCACTGGACAAGAATACAGAATATACCATGAACTGCTAAGGGAATAAACGGGTCCACCTTGAAGAGGGTGAAACCAGGCTGCTCCTTGGAAGCAAGGATTTTGAAACTCTGTCTGACATACTTTGGATATGTTACAAGGAGAGATCATTCCTTGGAGAGGGATATCATGCTTGGAAAGGTGGGAGGATAGTGCAAGAGAGGAAGACCCTGGATGAGATGGATTTGCTCAGTGACTAGGGTAATGGGGCAAGTGTGTCAGAGACAATGAAATTGGTTCAGAATAGAGGAGGGTTCGGAGCTGTTGTACATAGGGTCGCTATGAGTCACAAGTAACTTGGCAGCACATAATAACATACAACAACATAACAATACACAATTGCTTACTAACTTCTGACATCCTAAACCTTAGCTTATGAGTGTCATTTTATATTTCTTTTTTTTAAATTTTATATTTCTAACATGCTCTTAATGTATAGCTTTGCAATCTTCATTCTACCATTTGCTGACACAACCTCACTTTAACACAACAACCCTTCTAGCCAACGTAGAACAGCAAACATAATTAAACTTACGCTCCTCTCATAAAATAACTGGAGCTAACTTATATTCTTAATGTATTTTAAAAGACTCATGCTCTTAATAGTGCCATCCACGGATGTGGATCCAGGATATGAGAATACTTGATAATTTCCTTTAACTTTCAGTCCTAGAATGGGACTCTGATGGGCACTGGCTTTTCCCTGTCTCAGAAGCCAAAACCACTGGCTCCAATTTTAAAAAGTCCAAGTTCCTCTTTCTCCTTTCTTCCTGCTACCCATTCTTTTAAAAATAAACCTCTTCATTCAAAAGTCCAAGGTGGGTTGTCTATATTCATATGTAAATTCATATGTAAATCTCCTCAGGATACTGGGTGAGACTTAATCACCCCTCAGGTTAAGTCTCATCCCTTCTACCAAGTTCTACTGCTTTCAACATTTTTCCAGGGCAAATCTCCCCTTTTAGCACATCCAATCAAGTACTAGCCAAAGGCAGACCTACATTCTTTATATACTCTACAAAATCCAATTTTCATTTTTTTTTTACAATTTATGTTACAACATACAAAGAAACATAAAACAGCAATATCTATAAAATTAAATCAACAAAAACAGTAACTAATAAATCTTTAAGAAATACCAGTTTATCTTCATTCTCAACCCTTAAGTATCATCCTTAACTGTGTATCTCATTCATATGTGTATGGCCTTTGGCTTCTGCCTTTCCTCTCAGACCAAAAAGGACTATTCTGGTTTCTTCCCTCACTCTTTTTGTAGCAACAGATGTAACCATCTTACTGGCATTTTCCAAGTCCTACTATCTCCTGGTTCTATAAATCTGGAGTCCCTGTAAGGAATCCTACCCCTTCTGACACAAACTGTAAAATGAATG